TTGGTAATTCTCTTCTAATTTAGCTAAATATCAATTAATTATGAACATGTGAGACAAACTGGTATTTTTCCAAGTCATTAGAACACCTCTACTTTCTATTCATCTAAGTATTAGCATTTTCATTTTCATAAATGAAAATAAGGGAACCCGTCTTTAAACGGCAGAAATGAATAAGACCAAATAAGAAAAAAAACTTGTATTTTTAAGTGATACTTGATATTTATGTAAGTATAAAATACATCAATAAAGAGATCTGGATTGATTTGACAACATATAAGTAACAATGAAATGAGTTCTCTTAAAAATAAGTTATGACATTTACAACTTTTTATTTGATGACAATATATACTGATTTTGATTATTTGGAATGTATCTTCAACGTTTTAAAGTCGTTTACTTGTGCCTGTTATATTTCTGTGGATGTTTCGTTTCCACAACTTTAGGTACGTTTATTTATTACTTATTATGAGAAAACATAAAAGTATATTTTCTATATATTTAGAAAAACTGTTAGCTGTCATATATTGTTTTTATTCCTATATTTCCAGGTTTAGATAAAGACCATTGGGGTACCAGTTTTGTGCTAACCTTTCCGAAATTAACAGATTATAAGACCCAAAACATGGTTGTTATAACAGCACGTGAGATAACAGAAGTCAGGGTGACGTCACATCAAACAGGCGAAGTTTCCGTATTTTCTTTGAGTGAGGGCGAGGCAGAAAAGGTGATCTATGGTAATGAAGTTGAAGCGGCTTCTTATGGAGTAAAACTTGAGGATTTGGCGATATCTGTTGTAGCCTCAAATAAAATATCTGTATATGCCTACGGTTACTCGGCTCATTCAACAGAAGGAATGTTAATACTGCCAGTTCCCTCGCTCGGAATTGACTATTTGGTAGTTAATTTTTATAATCAAACTTCATCGAGTAAGTATAGACTTCCATTGATTTCATTTCAAGTCTTATCTTTTGTCTTGATAACTCCATTCACACCTCCATTCGTCATACTTCCTTGGCTCGAAACCCGTATTCGTGATAGGCCTACAATGGAATCAGATGGATTACTGAGTACAAAAAGACCAAACAAGATGGCCATCTTATTAATTCTTTCATTCAGACAGACAGTAACTTTATTTAAAATTCCTAATGTGTGCAAATCTTTGAACGCTTTTTGAGTAACGATCCCAAACCCTGTAAGATTTCATACGCCATTCCTGTTTTTTTTTTCAGCGCAGACTATAATTATAGCAGCCGACAATAATACTGAAGTCAACATTCAGTTTAAGTTGGGAGCAAATACACATTGTGATGTTGACTTTAACGGGTTTTACGACGGTGACAATTTTGATTTCATTTTGAATGATCACGACGTTCTTAATATTAACTGTGAATGTGATAATACCGGAAGTCGCATTACGTCGAATAAACCAATAGGTGTCATAACCGGAAATAGAAACGTGCAATTACCAATGACATCCAGAATTGACCCAATTATGGAAATGCTGCCACCAGTTACTGAATTAGGAACCCAATTTTCTTTAATAGCTCCTACAGGTCACACAAGTCAAAAATCAATGCTGCGAGTAGTGCCTCTTAACTCGGGAACATCATTTGAAATAAAAGGAGAACTGTATACTCCATTGAAAGGAGAACCAGTAGATATTCACTATTTAAGCCAGTCCGAGAAAATCTGTTTCAATGCCACTGACAAGGTTATAGTTGTTATATTTATGTTAGGATATCCCGTATCATGGTATTACTATTACGACGGAGATGCCTATATGTCAGTCGTACCGCCCATTGATAGAGCAACAAATGATTACATGGTTTTTAACAATGCCTTAAAGTCTTTGGATGATTATTATAAAGGTGGAGTTATTATCGTGACTCGAAATTCCGTTACAGATGCAATAATTCCGACTTTAAATTATGAACAATTATGTACTGGCTATAATGTCCACAGTGAGATAATAGGAGATAGTCAAGTTAAACATTATCATGCCCCCTCACCATTTTTATTACTCATTTATGGATATTCAATAAGAGAAGCGTTTGGTTTTCCTGCTGGTATGAAATTATCTGTTTTTAGTGGTAAGTTTTTCTTTATTCAGCTCACATAGATAAAGATGTTCTTTGGAATTCATATTTTTCATTGGTGAAGGCATACAGTCGTCAAATTTTACGAGCTGTTAGATTTGAATTTTAGCTGTCTGTGTTACCTTTCAGAATGGAAGTCCGATTCTCCTACAATTGAACAAAAGGTATCGCCCCAATTTAAATTTGCTTTGCTAGTCCACATTGACGTTTCAGTGTGCAGTGATTACCCAATGACTATGAATACCTTCATTCTGTTACACCTCGTGTTCTGTTATTATCTATATTGTGATGTATGGTAGATATTGAGACGTCTGTATCCCTTTTTATACGCCCTTTTGAAATGGGGGCGTATTTTTTCGTGACCCATCCGTCCGTCCGTCAGTCCGTCCGTCCACATTTGCTTGTAAACACTTCAGAATGCACAATTCCGATTTGACGAAACTTGGTGTGAGTGTTTTTTTATCACCCAAGGATGAATACTATTGAAAATCATAAAAATCGAAATATAATAATGATAATATTATTCAGTATCGCCCCAAAAAGTTCAAAAGAAGTGTATGACTGAAAGTTGAACATTTCAAACTGGTAATTGTAACTGTACTGCCAAATATTTTTATTCAAAATCAAAGCTGCTAGTGGGCGTATATTACCTTGCCTGGCAAGCTATCTTTTTAATCATTGTTTATATATTTGAAGCGATCACATAACAAGAAAGAAAGGGAGAATAGAATATTGTGCAATTATTTTAGGTACTGATGAATGTGCCAGTTTCCCTTGTCAGAATGGAGGTTGGTGTATAGACACGACTACTTCGTTTAGATGTCATTGTGAAGATTCGAGATATACTGGTATATTTTGTGAAATAGGTAAAGCAAACATTCCTATTCTCCCCTTCACCGTCATTATCCAAAACATACCATGTTTAAATATTATCATCATCATCAGCATCACCATCAAGATAATCACCGTCATTGTCGTTGTAGTTAGAATTAGAAATAATCCCGCTCATCCCTCTTCAACAACAAGCAGGCAATACATCATCATCATCATTTTCATCATAACCATCATCATCATCTAGATAATCAGCGTGATTCTCGTCCCAGTTAGAAGCTACCTCGCTCATCTCTCATCATTAACAAGCAAGCAATACATCATCATGATCATCA